ATTAATTTATACTTATATAATTCAGATTATTGATCACTTATATAGGAAATTCAATAATAAAAAGATTGTGAAAATGTGTTAAATATAACCATTTTGTAATTAGGAATCATAATTTAAAAAAATATATAATAAATTTATATATATATATAATATTTTATACAAGAACATATTAATTTTGATATTTCTTCAATTCTATTATATTAATAAATCTAAGACAATTTGATCTGAAATATAAAAAAAAAATATAATTCAAAAATATTTCATTATTATGAGAAAACCTATATTTATATTATAATATAAAAATAAAAAATTCATTTCATATAATTTATACAATAAATAGCATAGCACGTATATATTAAAATAGTAACACACATATAAACTTTTAAAATAAATAATAAAAAAGAAAACTATAAAATATAATGTTTCAAATTTAGAGGTTTAATATATTGTTTTTTTTATCTCACTTTAAATTATTTATTATAAATGAAATATTACATCATATATAATGTATACATAAAATTTATGTATATTTAAATCTAACATTCAAATAATATTTTTAGAAATATTTTATATTAAGACATGTTATGTAATATATTTGTGCTTTCTAATAAATAATTAAAAAGAAAGATGAAATAAGTATTATGAAATTAACTCTGTGTAAATTATATTATAAAATAGCAATAAAAATTATTAAATTATTATTATTTTTTATTTATACATAGCAATGATTACAGCTACGTTCTTTTATTACGTAGTAAAATTAGTTCTCTTTCCATATGAAGGCTAAGTATGCTGAATTTGTTAAAATTCACAATAAATAAAAATATAAAATATAATTACAAAATATTAAAAATTAATTATATTTTTTAATAAACATATATAAATAAATATATATATATGCTACAACAAAAAAATAATAATACAAGATTAACAGATAATAATTTCATTAATGTATTATATTAACTAACGTATAAAATAATAATACATTAACATTATAAAAAATATATAGATATAATATATAAGATATAAAATAAAATTATATATTTTTTTTTTTATCTCCTGAATATATATTTAATACCCATGTAATAAGAATGCTTTATAAAATAAGCTGTAAATAATGTATTTATAATTAAATATATATAATTAAAATATTAATTTATAAAGGTGCGTATGCTAATCTTAATTTGTAAATAATTATATATTTTTAGCAAATAGTGTTTTTCTTATTTATATATAATTCACATAAATTATGGTATATTAATTTCTTGTGTATTATCATTTTTTATAAAAATGTAATGAAAAAACAAATAAATAGCAATTAATAGATAACAAATAAGCATTTATAACATAGAAAAAAAATGAACAAAATAAATATATTCAGAGCCATGATTCTTAAACCTAAAATGTTAGACTTATATATTTATATATATAGCTTTATACATCAATGTAAAAATTTAATAAAAACATAAATATATTATGATAGAAATATTGATTATATTATATAATTTATTTAATTTTTTAGATGATATGACAATATCATTAAGGTAATATTATATATATATATATATATATATATATTACATTATTGCAAATATATTCTTTTATATTGAGAAATTATTATTTATTTTGAGCAATAAGTATTTATTTTTCACGTGATGTTATATTTTTACAAGATGTTAGTCTAATCCAGAATAAATAATAGTAACACAGTTTAAATCATAATTATAATAAGATAAGTGCATAAATGTGATATAAAATGTGTAAAATTAAAATGATATTATGACTTAATACATATTATATATATATACTAATATTTTAAAATATAAGAGTTCGTTATATTATGAAAAAAAGCTTTTTTTTATTAAACGACGTGTATATATAATAAAATGAGCGAACGCACAGTGAACGGTGAAGAAGTTAGATTTAAATTTTATTATAATTATATTTGTAAACATAATATTAAATATCTTATTTATTAAAGATCACATAATAATATTTTTCTTAAAACTATATTTTCAATTCCTGTATATATTATGCTTTTTGTTTTTAGATCAATTTCTCTTATATATATCCCATATACTCGGAGGGTTTTAGTTGTACAGAATATGAACATTCGCGTCACCATTTATACAATGATTTAACAAAATTGTGTAGTGATTTTCATAATAAAGTAACAAGTTATAAAACTACTTATTACTCTTTTATTTAGAGTTGTAAAGTTCTTAGTCTATATTCACATCATATAAAAACATAAGGTAAAATGTTTAATAAGGGAGAATGTTGTAAATACTTTTATTACAAGGTAAAAAATAATATAACAGATACTTTTGATTTAAATTGTGGTGATACTAATGATTGTCAAGAAAAATTAAGAGAACATATACTGAAGAATTTTGATGCAAGTATATCTGATGTATGTATAAACTCTTCTATCAATGTTGATAAAAATACAATTAATATATTTGATAATCTTGATGAACTTGTTAGCAGTTCTAATAAAATCTATTATGGTCATAAAAACTATTCGGACCTTCAAGCACTTATAGGCCGTATGAAATTCGTAGAAGGAAGCAAATTTAATAATCGTGAGTGTATTAGATTATTATTGAAAAAATATTATGGTTATTATAAAAATTATGTGAAAACCGAACTTAAAGATAAAGCTATAAATTCTTACCTCACTTATAATGATAAGTGCATTAATGGAATATTGAATGTAGTGTCAGGGACGAATGGAAATATACAGGAAGCAGAAGGACAAACATATTTTGCTGAAGTTAGAGAAGCACATACAGATTTTGCTTCAGGTACTGGTACATGTATAGGTTTTTCATCTTTTGCAAACTTAGAAATTGCATTCATTTTGCATAAGGTGATAAAGGAAATTCATTTAATAAATTTATGTTGTATTATAATTTATCTTATAAATAATTTAGAAATATTGATATAAAATAAATGAATAACATATAATAATATTATTGAATTTTTTATACATTATACCCCTTATTTTTCATTTTTATAACCAAGAGTAAGGAGATTAAGGAAAAAATTTAAAAAAATTACAAAAATAATCTGGATCTTATGGACACATTTGATTTTGAATACAAAAATTCAGTTGATGATAGATATAAAATAGTATATAGTTAAATTAATATAACCAATAAATGTGGAATCTTAATTATGGTTTTTGTTTTATTTTTTATAAAGAATACAAAAAATGTTATTTTTGTATAAAGAAATTCAGTTATATGAATTTGCTAATATGATATAAAATCAATAAAAAGAATTCATTATCTTAGTTATTTACAATAACAAATGCAATTTTGATTTCTACTTATTTATTCAAGAGGAAACAATAAATATATTTAGTATAGGAAAAATAAATAATATATAAAAACACATTGTAAATGATAGGATATAATATTTTTATATGAATATACTTCTATAATTAAATTATATATATTAACATTCATCATTATTTATAATTTGATGTGTCAATTATTGTACATTAACTCGAATAAAAACATGTTATGAAGAAATTAATTTAAAAAAGAAAATAATAAATATATAATAAAATGCAAATTTCCAGAATGAATAAGAAAAAGCAATTAAAATAAGAATATAATTTGAATATATATATATTGAAAAAATCAATCGTACATTATGTTTAATATTTCCATTAAAATTACGATTTCTGATTATTATAAAATTATACTTATATCTCATAAAGCTTAAGGCATATCGAATACATTATATATTATATAAAAATATTTATGCTAAATACATTTTTATCACTTGTAGGATATAATTACTTCTATTTTATCATTACTCCGTGTATGAGCTTTTGAATTAATTCTACATTTTATAATGAAAGGCTATTGTATAATAAATAAAGATTTTACATCAGAAATATAATAATTAATAAAAATAATATTATTATATAAATATGAATAATATTTTTTGTAATTATGAATTATAATATAGTATATATTATTATTTATTATAAATTACTTATTACAATACATTATTAATAATTGTCAATTTCATAGAATCAGATTATTACAGGTTATAATTTACAGAGTTTTAAATATAATCGAAAAATCATTTTGTTTTAATAGAATTCTTACATTTAATCGAAAGATAAGATATTAAAAAAAATATATATCTATTTATAATACTTCAAAAATGAATTCTACGCATAATCGTCGTAAATATATGCTATGAATATATACTATTACTTATATGTATTGTAATATAACGGCAAATATATAGATTCAGCAAATTTACACATAGAACCTCATTGATAAAGGAAAATGATGTAATGGAAACAAGAAATATAGGGAAAAAATGTATTATATATAATATTATTACATTTATAATAGCACTTTCTCAATAAAGATGTTCTAAATATATAATTATATAAAAATAATATATATTAATATATAAAGGGAAAAAAATAAAAAGTCCATAATATGCACGAAT